TGGACCCGCCCTCCGTCCCGTTTCTGCTCTTCCACCACCAGGGATGCGCCTGTTGATGTGCGCCACACCAGAGGCTGTAGGCCACATGACGTCTCCATGCAGAGTTTCTGTTAGCTTTTGTTTTTTTCTTTGTGATTTTGGCCTGCTTGTCCTGTTTTTGATTCTTTTGCAGTACGTAGACTCTTTTTTTATTTATTTTAAATGGTAGTGTCTCTTGAAGGTGATAAGTGATAACTGTGCTTACATAGTTATCTTGGGAGAACGTCCGTGGGCTTTTTTGAGGGGTGATCTGTGTTTATTGCTTTAATGCCTGCTAGTTTAATGTGCCTAACATCCTGCAGCCAAGAAATATAAAGACTATCAGCTTGTTAAGTAAGTTTTTAAATAGGAAGTCAGTTTCTTTTCATGGTGTGGATGTGGCATTTAACATAATCAAAAGAAAATCTATCTACAGAAGACCTTGTGTATTTCTTCTCATCTGGGTGATCAACTTGTGCTCTTATGAAAATAATCAGTTTGAGTTTTTAGTTTTTGTGCAAATTCTGAATATAAGAGTTTGATGTTTTAATTTAACTTTACATTAAAAGCTAAAACTTTGCTTTTCTATTTTCCTTTGAACAGCAAAAGACACAAGTGAGTTTATGAGAAGATGTCTCAGAACAGGTAAAACAAACATGATACAATTGTGTGTGTGTGTGTGTGGGGGGGGGGGGGGTGAAATTCCAGCATATTTATGGCAGAGGTATGGAAACAGTACTTGTGATGAAAGAGTTTTTGTTATTTAGCCTATTTTTTATTTCTCCTTGTTAGAAGAGGTTTGATGTGGTAATGTTTGTTTATTTATTTAAATCTAGAATGACTTTTTTTTTCCAAGTCAGGGTTTATTTATACAGCACATTCAACAGCCTCAGTTTCACAACAACCACATCACAGATAGATAAATGATAAAATAGAAATAAAATTACATTTAAATATAATAAGAGAAATATAAAATTGGCAGAGATACCAAAAGCTACTAATATGATTAAAACCCCCGAAATCTTGAAATTTAGCTGCAGCAATTATATTCCGTCCTTTACCTTTTCTCTTTAGCTGTTAAAGTCCAGGGAGGACAGATGAGTTTTCAGTCTGGACTTAAACTGACCTACTGACAGAGTTTAACAGACAGAGGGAGACGATCCACAGACGAGCTGCAGCGTTTTGGACGCTCTGGTCCAACACTAAATACAAAGAGTTACAGTAATCTATTGTAATCTTTTCTACAGATGGAAACTACAGACTCTGTGTCAGTATGTCGCAGATACTCTGACTTACATCGTAGCTGTGAAGGATTTCTGTGAGATGTTCCCTGGATGGAAGAAATGCAGAGAGAAAGAGGTGGAGGAAATCAAAGATATCAAAAGAAGGGCTGATGAGATTAACTCGTCTTTCACAATGTCAGAGGGCAAAGAGAAGAGCTCTGAGAAACCTGTGAGCACATTAAAAACAAAAAGTGTTGAAGAGCTTGAAAATGTACTTGGTGAAGTGCTGAAAGAAACACTGAAGGGTTTGGAGAAACTCAACAGCTTCTTGGATGCAGTGGAGAAGCTGGCAGTCACATCTCTGCAGGTTTTCACTGAGAACCAGATATTGATCGTGCCTGAAGGAATCAGGTTTGACAAAGTTCAGGATCTGATCAAATCTGCCCGATGGATCTGCCCTTTAATACTGGAGTTCAAACGAGACGCAGCGGCTTTCTTTGTTCCCACAAGACACAACGTGGAGGTTCTGCTGTACCAGCTGGAAAAACACATAGACACCAGCAAGAAGATCTTTCAAAGCTTTGCTGGCAGGTACATTTGTCTTAATAAAGTAATAAAGTAATTAAGTATAATAAAGTATATTAATATACTTTCAAAAGGAACAAGAATTCAGACTTTTTCTGTCTTCCACAGCCTCAAAATTGACATTTCCCTGGGAATAACAGAGGACATTGCTATTGAATGTCATTTATCTGATGATGACATGCAAAAAATGACTGATCAGGTCAAACAACTCGATAAAATCAGGCAAGATCCAAACCCCCAATAACTACATTATGACTTAAAGATTTTCCCAAGTTTTCAAATGGAAAAACTTATAAAGACAATTTTCTTCCCCAGGATGGACGACGACTTCCGGATGATGTTCCTGTTCCAGAGGATCAACTATTCAATTTTTGTTAAGAAGTACAATGATGAGCTTCCTGAGATGCTGCAGTTTCTAGATCAGATTGAACAGTGTGCAGTTCAGTTAGACAGAATGAATAAGGGAGCAAAGATCTCCAGTGTGGCTGGGAGCTCAGTGGGAGTAGTGGGAGGAATCCTGTCCATTGTTGGTTTGGCTCTAATTCCAGTTACATTTGGTGTGTCTGTAGGGTTGACCATTGCTGGTGCAGCTGTGGGAGGAACTAGTGGACTGAACAGCTTGGTAACCACCTTAACAGAGGTTGGAGTTAATAATACACAAACAAAAAAAGCGAACACAGCCTTTCAAAGATTCATGAATGCTGTTCAGAGAATCCAGGATTGTCTGGAAGAGGCGGCTAAAATACCATATGCTGAAGTTACACAAAGCACTAAAAATGTGTTTTACATGGCAGGCCAGACTGCTTGGAAATCACGTGGTATTGAAAAGGCTGGTGACTTCATTGTTGATGTCGCTGCTGTTCCAAAAGCAGGTAAAGTTGCACTACAGGAAGGAAAAGCAGTGGGTTCTGTATCCAATGTGGCCTCAGATGTTCCTGAAATTGCTCAGGCAGCAGTTAAAGGGCCTCTTGCTCTCTCCAAGTCAGCCAGAGTTGGCTTTATTGCAGTCAATGCCCTCTTCATTGGGATGGATATCTTCTTCATCACTAAAGACAGCGTGGCCCTGGCTAAAGGGACAGAGACTAATGTCTCCAAGTTCCTCAGAGCCAGAGCTGCTCTGTGGCGCTCAGAGATGGAGGCCTGGGGGAAAATCCACAACTCACTGTGTAACAGCAAACTGACCGCAGAGGAAAACAGAGAGATGCTTGAGAAGCCATTTTATCCTGTCTAACAGCAATCTGTATATTAATGGATGCATAGATATTTGCTTTGGTTGACTCCCTAAGAGAAAAACTAAAACAACAAAAAGGGTTTCAATTTGTAACCCAGTTTTTCAACAGAAAAACATTTTGTTTATAAGTATGTTAGTTTAGCTACAGGTGACTGTTAGTCTCCATTTCACCAGCATTTAATCAAGATATTCGTGTTTAACTTGTCTGCACCTTTTACCAGACTAAGTCAGTCAGTAGCAGCCATAACCTCCAGACCAGCATAACTTCTCTCTTCCCGGTGGAAAAGGTGAGAAACTCTGATCAATAAAACTCTAGTTGGCGTCACTCCAGGGACTCAGTGGGCATTTCTCTCTCTTTGCTCTTTCTACAATTACACAAAAAACTGTAGTATGTATTACTGACAGAAAGGTAAACTATCTTTATGAAATGATAATAAAAACAGCCTCCTGTCTGGACTGCAGACAGGAAGCTTGAACAGTGAGCATCCTACCTTGTATTTAAGTTAGAAACATGCTGCCACTTTCCCTCCTAACGTCTCCAGTCTTATTTGCCTAAATTAAATTTATAAAATGCACAAAGCATTTTTCTTTGGAAATCTGGGTTTCTTTATGTACATTTTGTACTTTGCCTGTGAAATTAATTTACTGAAACCTTTCAGTAAATTAAACTAAAAAACATTATTTGAAGTCCACTGTGTCTCAGGCTTTGCAGTCTTATATTATAAAAGTCAGTTGATTAAAAAGCTAAACTTCAAGAACTTGACTTATGACTTTGCAAAGAAAATTGTTTTTATCTAATTTTAACATTACACAGGTTAGTTATACTTTTACTATTTAGTTATCAATGTATGTTAAATGTCTTGTATTTAGAGGTTGTTTAGAAAGTTTCTTCTTTTTATTTTTCTTTTTGCAATAAGATTTATGCCTTTAGCAAAATGTTTAAGTTGGTTTTAATCTTGCTTCAAATAGTGAATTGGATGCTGTATGAATAATTCACTAGCAGTAAATACTGTGTTCATACCAACATTAAAATTAATCTTCAAAATTAAGGATTTGGGGAATATTTATTGGTGCATCCCTAACATACACAAGTACACAAATATTTTCTTGAGAAAATAAAAACATACACAGATTTTTACATATTTGTTAAAATAAAGTCACCATGTCATGATTTTATGTTATGTATAATTTGTGAAAATAAACTCCTCCACTCCCCCTGAGCTACTATTTCCATCTGAAGAAATTCATCACTCCCAATCAAAACCAACCAATCAGAGACAGGAGGAGAGTCTTAGCGCTGTCAATCAACTTACCATTACAGGAAAGCCGTTTATCCACTGTCATCGGTGTCCGTGCTAACTAGCCTTAACATTCATCCTTAACATTCATGAGAGGTTCTGTTAGCTGCAGCGTAGCCAAACGCAAGAGATCAGGGAGAAGTGGGATGAGCAGCACCACAAGAGTTTGTGATTGACACGCTAACACCTGCCTCCTGGCTCTGACTGTTTGAATCCAGTTAGCACTGGCTAACAGAAGAGCTACATGTTTTCCACAGATTATCTCCCATGCAATATCACGACACAGTGACAGCTTCAACAAATATCTAAAAACACTATCATAAGTTACATAGTGCTGCATTAGACATTATTAGAAAGACACAACAAAACATTATGTTTATGTTATTGTAGAAAACACCACACATTTCTTGATTTAAACTAAATGTTTAACAGGTTGAGTAAAACAAAAACAAATGTACACACCTATTATAAAGATGCCTAGTTGCTTGCCAGGAAAAGTTCAGGAGTGTCTGGATGCAGCTGTTGAGGAGAGAAAACAAAATATAAGGAGAAAGAAACATAAACACCAAAACATGCAAGTCTTCCAATGATTAAATCAATCATTTGGGGTGGGGGGCTGGGAGGAGTTCTGTTCTAAAGTACTCTCCTCCCCCCCAGGCGACATTTCCCATATTAAAACCCCAAGCTTGACATGGACAGTATATTTACCGAAGTTAAATGGCCACCTGCTTTTATGTTAACAACCGGGACATCAACTCATGTTTAGCACATAAGACAACTGCAGCTTGATATTTTTAAAAGCAGGACTGAGACATAAGTAGCATGACGCCATGAACGGTTAGCTTTCACGCGCCCAGTTCAGTTTGACTTGAAAAAATGGCCGGTACTTTGAGTTCGGTAAAATACATGAATAGTAATACACCGCGTTTTACTTTTATAATACACAAGCAAACACAGCATTGTAAAATATATACCATTTTGTTATTAAAAAAAAAAAGACTGCAAAATAATTTGCAATTATAGACTGCGCCAGGATTCTCACGAAGTCAAACGAAGTCAACGAGAAATATTTCAAAACTTTATTCACAGAAAAGAATGTGTTCTTATTTCTTTTACTTTACCGGGGAGGCGGCAGAAAGGTAACTCCAACTCATCCAACCGAAGTCCAAAAGATGTATGTTCCAGGGTCCGGCTAGCGAGCTTGAAATGTCGTCTGACCAGTTTTTGCGAAACTGGTCACTATAAAGAAGGTGCGGTTCAGAATAAAAGGCAGAAACTGAGACCAACTGCTCTGGTTTAACGGTTCTTAATCAGTAGCTCTGGAGAGCTGAAGGCTGCAGAACCGCAACGCTGAGAATCCAACGACATGCCTGGAGAAAGGTAAAGAAATAACTATAATTTATTTACATCTGTGATTAATTAACAGCTTCACAGCATTAAAAAAATAAAATGCACTTCTGTTCACTTGAAATTGTTTAACTGAAACTTTCTGAACACAAATCCATCATTTTTAAATTATTTTTAAACGAGAAGCAGACAGCAGATGCTTTCTGAACAAATATATTTAATGTATTTTTCTCAATATATAGGAATAACTATAGCCTGTAAATAATGATTTGATTAAAAATGATATGAATGTCTCCACTTTATTTACTCCATACTGGAAGATAACTGTTATCTAAAATCAAGCTTTGTTTTAGCCAACAATCTGCTGTGATAAAACCATCTCTCTGACACAAAGATACTGAACTTGATGTCAGATGTGCTGAATTTAAGATCATTCAAATGGTTTAAATTACATTTAGGAGAATGTGCCATGCATGAAAAAATCTAAAACATTAAAAATATATAAAGCCAGTAAGTGAGTTACATGTCAAGACAAAGTTTAAATTATGCAAATAATAAAACTGTTTTGCACTTTACTGCAGCATATAAGGTCCAACAGAAGCCAGCAGTAAAATAAATAACAACTATTAAATAGATTAACTTAGGGATGTCCAAAGTGTGGCACGAGGGCCATTTATGGTCCTCTGGAGGATTTTATGTGGTCGTCCCTGAACTCATTTCAAGAATGGACCAGATCTGGTACATGCGTCGCTTCTGCTGATTAACCATTTTTCATCTTGTGGGGAAAGATTTTATTTTATTTTTTACAGATAAATGACATAAAAAAGAGGTACAGAAATCAATTCCCAATAATTAACGATGTTTCTGCTTTCATCCGCAAATATCGACCCACTTTTACTCAAACGCAAATCATCTGGAACACCAATAAGAAAACAATTGATCCCAAAATGTTTGAAACTCTGAAAATATCACAGTTGTACAAAATAATTTTTCAACAAAAATCTGACTAGATTGTTGATTGTTTTGTTTTTTACATTTTTAGCTTATTACTGTGCAAAAAAGGCATTAAAAGTTTGCTTTAAAGGCGCAGTATTTAGGCTGTGATGACTTCCTGACGGCAGAGTGTCAGAAAGAGCAGGAGTTTCTTAAAGAGACAGAGGCCCAATTTCAGGGCATTAGATTTAAAAAATCCAATGTCTTTTAAATCATGTATGATATAAATAGCATTTTTATAACAACTGAAGATAACATAACTACTGGATTTTGCTATAAAATAACACAATGTGGCTGGAAAACACAAAACTGTGCCTTTAAAATAATTTGTGTGACATTAAAGTGCCATCAACTTTCATGGCCAAATGTTTGGACACCAGGTTTGACCGTTCCTAACAGCAAACAAGCTAATAGTTTATTCTGTTAGACTTTTTATCTCTAATATATCTATTGTTAGAGATGTTTGCCTTTGTTTTTCTTATATCTTTTTTCTAAAACAGAAACACTTCCTGTCCTACAGGTGGAGGCGGCTGCAGCGCACCTTGTGTCAGTACGTCACTGATACTCTGACTTACATGGCAACGGTGAAAGATTTTTATGAGATATTCTCAGAATGGAAGGACTGCAGGGAAATGGAGTATGTGAAAATGATGAGTATCAAAGAAATGGCTGATAAAATTGACCCCACTTTTGCCAGGTCAGAGGGCAAATGGCCGTCTTTTTGTAAATACGTCAAGAGCAGCTTGCAGCTCAAGGCGGAGAGTAAACTGTTAGATCTGGAAAAGACGCTGGCTGAAGTGCTGGAAGACACGCTGGGAGGTCTGGAGGAACTCAACACTTTCTTGGATGCAGTGGAGAAGCTGGCGGTCACTTCGCTCCATGTGTTCACTGAGAACCAGATCATCTACCTTCCTGAAAAGATCAGCTTTGATGATGTTCAGGCTGTAATCAGCTCTGCACAACAAATCTGTCCTCTCATCCTGGAGTTCAAAAGAGATGCAAAGACCTTCTTCCTCCCAAACCTTCACAATGTGGAGGTTCTGGCATTCCAGCTGCAGAATTACATCGACACCGCCAACAGGATATGTGTAATTCACAGCCAGAGGTAATTTATATTATTAGACATAAAGAATGAACTCTAATGTTGTTTTGAATAAAATAACATTTTAAGCTTTTATCTTCCACAGCGTTAACTTTGACATTTGCATGGAAATGGCTGAAGAAATTGCAGTGAATTCTGACGACCTGTGTGAAAACGACATGCAAAAGATGACAGATCAGATTAAACTACTGGACAAAATCAGGTAATTTTTAACTATTTTTTCAGTTGAATATTTGCAAGGAAGCTGGAACCTTTATAGATTATTTTAATATAAAAATACAAGTAGAAAACCTGATAACATCATTTTACACCCGGGATGGCCGGTTACATCCTGCAACTTGAAAGCTATAACGTAATTTTCATTAAAAAAATAAAAATTTCCACACATTTGTTCAAGGTGGAGTGTTTTAGAGCTCTGAATCAGGAAACAATAGAAACAACTTACCGTTCCAGAAAAACTGTTTATCGTTGAACTAACCTAGCATTCTTGAGTGCATACCCAAGAGTGATTGACAGCGCTAAGACCCACCTCCTGGCTCTGATTGGTTGTTTCTAGTTAGCTTTGAGGGAAACCAGAAATTTATTTTTTTTAATAGATTATCTCATCTTGTCAATCAATCAAATTTTATTTGTAGAGCACATTTCAGCAGCAAGGCATTTCAAAGTGCTTTTCATAATTAAAATAAAAACAGCATGTGACATTGAATAAACAGTAAGAAAGAGAAAGAGATTTTGAAAAAAAGATTAAAAGAGATAAAAACATTAAAACCCTTTTAGGACTTCAGTTAAACGTTTAACTGGGACGTTTTCTAGGGGGCTTTACATCATTAAAACGTAAACAGTGAGAAAGAGAAATGAAAAGAAATTAATAAATAGATAAAAAAGTAAAGATAAAAACATTAAAAACATCGAAGACATCAAAACCCACTCTAACCCTAATTTAGCCATAAGCAACTCTAAGCAGGTGGGTTTTAAGTTGAGATTTAAAGGCACCAAGTGTTTCAGCTGTTTTACAGTTTTCTGGAAGTTTGCTCCAAATCTGAATGCTGCTTCTCCTCGTTTGGTTCTGTTACTACCCAACTCTTGTCAGGACCAGAGTTGTGTAGTAACTAGTTACATTTACTTGAGCAACTTTTTTGTTAAGTAGTTTTACTATGCTGTACTTTTTACTTTTACATAGTAAAATTTCTGTATTTTCTACCTACTAATTGAAAATAACATATTTTAACCAAAAATTCACCAGACACAGAGACACACCTGCAGTCTTTGTTTAATTTTGATAAGTTTTTTATTGAAAGAAACTGATTTGGAAAAATATTATTTTTCCCGATTTTGTTATTTATTTGGATTGTCATTTTTGTTCTTAAATTACAAAAATTTCCACTTAACTTTACATTTTGGTCTGTCTGATTATCTAAGTTTTAAATATCAAATGATTGATAATTTGATCAGTTACGCAGTACTTGAGTAGACTTTTTACCAAATACTTTTTTTATGCCAGGTAAGATAAGTTGAAGTAGTTCTACTTTTACTTGAGTAATATTTTTGGGTTCTCTGCCCACTTCTGGTCAGGACATGGTGACAGTTTGGGGCTGTCTTCAGTCTCAGAGCTAAGTGCTCCTCCTTCATTTTGTATTGGACTTCACCAAAACAAATTTTTGTCACCAATCCTATTTGTTCTGTCTATTCACCAGATGTTTTGCAGATAATGTGGCCCTGTTCAGAATGAGTCCATAGTTCCTAATAGGAAAAAGGTTAATCTCAGAGTCAGGGATGAGGCTTGGCCTGAAGTAGAGGAGATGAATTAACTTGATGTGCTGTTATTAAAGGTGGTGGAAATGACAGATGAGTTGTCTGCACTAAGGTGTGGTGTTATTGTCACAATGAAGAAAAAGCTAAGCACAAACACACCTATTTCTCCACGTATTTATACTAGAACAGTTTGTAGAACAGTAGTCTTAATTTACTACAGTCAGTCACGAAATTAGGATTCTGTATTAGGTGCGTGGTGTTAGATTAGCTAATAGCAGCGGTAGCTAATCAACCACCGCTGTTATAATGGCTAATAGCAGCGATAGCTAATCAACCACCGCTGTTATAATGGCTAGTAGCAGCGGTAGCTAATCAATCACAGTGAATCGATAAATAACTAACTCACCGAATGTTCTGTTCTCTGTACGGAAAATGTTCGACTTTTGGGTTGTTGAATCCTGAAGCGTTCTCATCAGTTGCTATGACAACGAATGTGCGTGTAACGACGTCAACACAGAGCGGCAAAAAAAGTAATTTTGAGTTGTCCTTTAACGGTTTTTTTGCGTTATTCTCCCCTTTGCTGTGGCGCACTGCATTAAATTAATAAATGAATTGTTAATTAATCTATAAAGAATCGTCTTTCTGCTCATAGTGTGGTGCGGCTGCGCAAAATTTCCGGATGTCCGTATAACATGCACTTGTGTGAATACATTTTTTTCTTGTTTTAATGTGCGTTAAAAGTTTTAAATAATCTTCTAACAATACATTTCTTGAATTAATTATAATTATCTTGCAATTAATTATAATTATCTTGCATATAATTTTTATTCTGTTTTTTTTTTCTTTTCAATTTCATGTTAGAATTATATTTTGATTTAAAATTTGTTCCACAGGATGGACGAGGACTTTCGGATGGAGTTCCTGTTCCAGGATGTCTCTTCAGCTGGTTTCATCAGCATCTTTAATGAGCAACAACCCAAACTGCTAAAGTTTCTAGACGACGTGGAGCAGTGTGCCGCTCAGCTAGAAAAGATGAACAAAGGAGCAAAGATCTCCAGTATCACAAGCAGCTCAGTGGGAGCCGCTGGTGGCGTCCTCTCCATTGTTGGTTTGGCCTTAATCCCAGTCACAGCCGGACTGTCTGTGGGGCTGACCATCGCCGGTGTGTCGATGGGGGTAACAAGTGGAGCCAACAGCTTGGTAACCACCTTAACAGAGGTGGGAGTTAATTCTAGTCAACAGAAAAAAGCAAATGAAGTCTTTGGAAAGTTCTATGAGGATTTCCAAAAGGTCCAGGATTCTCTTGATGAGGTGATGAAACAAGTAATTAATCTGGAGCAAAGTAACATAGAGGTGTTGTTGGGAGTAGTCAGGAGTGCTCATAAACTATACACCATAGGAAAGGGTATTGATTCCATCGTTGATAGTGCTGATGTTGGTCAGGCAGCAGTTAAAGGGCCTCTCGCTCTCACCAGGGGAGCCAGAGCTGGCTTCATTGCACTTAATGTCCTCTTCCTCGGCATGGATATATTCTTTATCGCCAAAGAAAGCCTGACTCTGGCTAAAGGCAGCAAGACTAAAGTCTCAAAGTTCCTCAGAGCCAGAGCTGCATTGTTCCGCTCGCAGATAGAGTCATGGGAGAAGATCTGCAACTCTTTGTGTCAAAGCAAACTGACCAAAGAAGAAAACAAAAATATCCTGCAGATGGCATTTCTTCAAGACGACAAATAAGAAACTAGATCTGAAGGGATAAAGAGAACAAAAGTATGGATGACATTGAAAAAAGGTACATTGTGAACGGCATAATGGAGGAGCACTACTCCATGTTGAAGGTGGATTGTCAGAAAGAGCAGGAGTTTCTTAAAGAGACAGAAACCTAATTTCAAGGCGTTGAATTGTGAAGCTAAATTCCTTTTCATATTTGATATAAACAGCATTTTTATAACAACTGAAGGTAATTGGTTGTATCTTGATTGTGCTATAAAACGGCAACTTGTACCTGGGAAATTCATAATTCTGCCTCTTTAAGAATTTAGTTAATTCATTTGCAAATGAGACTATTTGAAATAATGTAAACATTTCCAGATGTGCTTGCAGAAGGAATTTGATTAGTTTTTATTTAATGTTATTTCCTCCTTATTTCTGTTTTAATGTTCACTGTAAATGAAAATGTCTCTAATTTACAGGAAAATATACCATAAAATTCTGGCAACCACAACTGCCGACATTTTACCGTAAATTAGAGACGTTTTTGTTTTTTACAGTGTAGGCCTTGATTTACAGTTTTTGCTGGTATTTCATTCATTGCTGTGGATGATTTTATATAAAGGATAAAAAAATAATGTTTGCAGTGTTATGCATTTTAGATTAAACTTTGTTTTCTCACTATATATTCCATAATCCTTCATATACATTTCAAACTAAATAGACAAACATGTTTAACTTCTGTTTGCCCTTAAAAAGACTGAATGCAGAACAATATGAGTCCAATTTGATTTATGTCTTTGTATTTATTGCTGTTAAAACGTCATTATCTTATTTTACTGTTTCCAGTTGGTGAAGATTTATTTTCATTGTATCAGATGGAAAATTAAACCATTCTGGTGTTTATTTGACAGATGCTGCAAAGCTGCAGTATTTATTTAATGAACACATTAATTAAAACTAGTCAAACTTTATAAAAGAGGTCAGATAAACAGCAAAGAGCTGCTGTCAATATTTAAGAGAATGTGAAGAAAAAAACCCCAAAGTTGTTCATCTGGAATCTGTTATATAAAAAAACTGTCTAGCTGCCAAAATAAGGAATAATTTGAAATTGTTGGTGTTTACATGACTTGTTTTAAAATCATGAACCGGATTCTGGTTCTGTTAGCTGGGAAAGTCGTTTGGGAAAAGATTCTTTGTCTTTTTTTGTTTCCGTTTCTATTTGACTGTCTGGAGTTTCTCCACCAGGTTTTAAGAATAATTTAGAGATTGACGATCAGAAGCCTGATTATTGTAAATGGGTCAGAAGGTTTAAGTTATCTCAGCTCCTAATACTGTGATCCTGTTCAGATCCTGGTTTTATCCTCAATAATGAGCCGAGACTGAACATTTCCTCCCTTTGCCCACAAACAGAAGAAGTGATGAAATTCACAGAACAGGCAGCGGCTCGCTGGTCTGATGATCCATCAGATTCACGGCTTTAATAA